CACAGTTCCTTGGAGAAGACGACTTCCATTCTCTGCTGGTCCTGTCTGATTTCAGGACAACAGCTGTGAGGCAAAATATTTTACTGCAGATACCAAGAGTTTTAAAGTCATGAAACACGCTTGCATTTAAAAGGAAGAGTTGCTAAATTCAACACATATAATTGATGTATAATTTGAAGTAATAGCTTTGCAGGAGTGTCTGCATAGAATCTGACCTATATATTCCTTAGAATTGGTGACCATGTGGAGGAAGGAGAGAGCTTGACCCAGCTTGACATTCAGATCCCAGAGAAGGGTTGCATGACTAATACTGAAAAAACAGACATATAATTTCAGTCTTGGAATTGCAACGTGAACTCACAGGCTGACAACCATGGAACCCAATATGGGCATTTTCCGGAGTCACTTCCTGATACTCATCCACCTGAATTAAGACAAAAGATTTAATTACTTTCTTTTGGAAAGCAACTCTCCTCTCAAGCACTTTGCCATGTTTAGAGCAGCCCTTCTGCAGCTGAGGAGGATTTCAGATGTACTCACACTTGCCAGGTGGTGGTGATCCAGCCTTTTCAAAATGCCTCTACATAAAATTATCCCAATCCCACAAACCACTCAGTATTATTTCATTGATGTTCTGCTGGCAAAGAGACCTCTAAGGCTTTAGAGACTTGAATGGAGGCGGGTGCCTTTTTTATCCTCCAGCCTTCCCAGAAAATCTAGTGATGCTGTGGGATTTCCCCAGTCCTCAGAGGAATTCCCTCCTTGGGGGAAGGTAGAGGTTAGAGTGGTAGCTTGGGTATTTGTTTGAATCTTCCTGGGGCTGAGGACTATATCTCCAGTGCATCCTTCTCCTGCATCCCTGTGCCACCTGGGTGCTGAGTCCTCATTCCCTGGGAACGTCTCAGAGCCACTCTGTCCTCTCCGTGTTCCCATTCTTTGCTCACTGACAGCAGACGTGGAGGGAGGAGGTGCAGCAGTACAGTGAGTGCCTGTGAAACAGGGAATTAATCCAGTGACCCCAGTGTCCTGGGTACCAAACTCCCACGGGAGCCCATGAGGTTGGTGCCTCAGAACAGCAGCATCCTTGCGTGCCATTCTGGGGCTCCATTGTTCCCACAGCACTGCCTGTTGCCCTGCCTTGTAACTCAGCAAATTCTTGATCAGCTTTAAGGAAAGGACTGTTCTGTATCAACTGTGTCAATCTCTGTTTCACATGTGTGGAAATGTCCTGACTTCCCTATGCAGCATAAGTGTCTGTTGGGTTCATCACTTCAGCTGTAGCATGTTGGGTGCTATTTAGGGTGACTCACTGGGGTGCACTGCTCTGCCCCTTGGGGCATTTGGTTAAGACATAGCACATTCTGGGAACACTGGATCAGGAGAGAACAGAAAAGCAGCAAATCTGCTACTCTGATACTTTTTTTGCTACTCTGATACTTTTCTTTTTTTTTTAAACTCAGCTTCTTAAACAATGATCAGAGCATGCCAAGAGCTGCTGGGTGTTGATCTCTGCTTTCCTGCTCCCTTAGCAGGCTCACAGGGATTTGGATTTTCCCTTGTGACAAGGATGGGTGGAATGAGCTGAAAAGGAGGGAGTCAGCTCTGCTGCCTGATGGAGGAAGCACGGGTGTCCTCAAGTGCTGGGGCCACCAGCAGCAGTGGAGATCCAAGCTGCTCCTGGGTCACCCAAAAACATGCCCAGAGAGAGGGGAGGGAGAAGTTTGAGCTGCTGTAATCACAGGTAGGAGTGGAAATGTCTGGAACTGATCCATCAGTGAGCAGTGGGCCACTCCTTGTAAAGGCTGGGCATGACTCCTGTCCCCTCACAGCAAATGTGTGCTGATCTGGTCTTGGACAGTACTTTCTTTTCCAGTCTGGCTAATATACTCAGAACATGTTTAGAAAGAAATTTATATAAAAATCTCTCTTCATGTTTCATTTCCAAGCCACCACACATGGATTTACTTGTGAATAATGGATGAGTCAGCAGGGTATAATGCTCATTACTCAGTGAGTACGCAGGGAGGTACTTGGAGCAGTGGTGAGGGCTGGCTGAATCCCAAATTCATGCTGTCCCTGGATGCTGGGCATTGTTGCCTGGAGCTGCCATACTGCTGATGCTGCAGAAGCTGGGACGAGGAATTCTGCTCATTTGCCCCTAATTTTTTAGTTCATTTCTGTTGAGGTAAACTGTGATATGTCATGGAGTACAAGCCAAAGATGAAGTCTAATTTCTGCATCTTTTGCCTTCCCTTGCTGTTTGTGGAAGGGAGGTAACAAGTGACGTTGGACAGCCACAAACTTTTAAATGAGGATTACATTGCCTACAAAGAATGTAGGCAAGCAAGATTCGGTGGCGCAACTTTCCGAAGAAAAGCCTGTCAGCCAGTGCTAATGAGAGTATCTGGTCATTCACAACTGGATTAATCTTCTTTTCCCCCAGTGAAATGCTTCTGTTTAGAGCACCTGCTAAAAAGGGAGCCATATGATGAAGAGTCTGGGTGGTAAAAAGTGTTCTTAGAGCCCCGGGTTTGCTTCCCATTCTTCAGGTAATGTATAGAGCAAAGAGAAGGCTCCCATAACGAGGAAAAGGAATAAGGAATTAGGATCGGGAGAGTCTGCAATACCCAGCCTGCAGAATCTCATGCTGCTGGTTGCATGGAAAGGAAGAGTAATAATTGAAGCAGAGAGACTGAATTTAGGAACAGAGTAGAATAAATTATTGTGTAGTCCTGGAGGGTGATTATCCCTGCTCCTGTGCTTGAGAACACCTGGGCTTGTCCTGTATCTCAGGGAGGCACAGGGGGAGGGTGGTAAAGGATGAGCTTCTTCTTCTGCTCAGAATACAGTTTAGACCAACGCTGGCCAGACCAGAAAGACAACATGGCATGGAAATCAAAACACAGGCTCCTATTTCTCTAATGGTGTGCACAGGATACTGTGGGGCCAGCATGAGGTTCTTTTGTTTGTGGTCAAGAACTTTCTTTTTTCTAACATTAGACACTTTAGGGGTGAGGGTTTCAAATGAAGCAGGATTCAGCTCATGCAGAAATTGCATGCTTGCAAATACAGTGATGTGAGTTTAAACCCTATGTGGTTTACCATGGAAAATACAGACATGGTGTTTTTCACCTGAACTTGGCTACACACAGACCAGACAGAGGAGACCGTGTAGCTAAAGTAGTGAAGAATTTCAGATGTGAAACTAAAATTAACTTCCTCGTTGTGCACACAAATACAGATAAACGCACACACTCGCCCTGGCTGCTGTAGGGTGATGTCCTCGTGCCATTTTGGCCTGCAGAGCAGTCAGGTTGTAGTGAGCAGCTGTGTCTGTGTCAGCAGAGGCTGAGCAGAGCTCCAGCCCCCCGAGCACGGAAGGAAGATTATGTGCTGGGAAGGACGCTGTGCTGGGAAGGAGCCAGCCCTCATGGACGTGACCTCAGCAATATTCCATGCATACCTGGACACATATTCAGTGTCTGTTTAGCCCTGAGGATGCAGGCACTGGCACAGGTTGTCCAGAGAAGCTGTGGATGCCCCATCCCTGGAAGTGTTCAAGGCCAGGTTGGAGTTAGAATAACCTGGTTTAGGGGAAGGTTCCCTGCCCATGGCAGGGGTTGGGACTGGTTGAGCTTCAAGGTCTCTTCCAACCCAAATCTTTCTAAGATTTAAATCCTTGTAAGCACGTTCAAGTCTTTCTTTTATTTGTAAATGTGTGAAAATCGTCATTGCTTTTGCTCATACAAGACCCATGTGCTTCAGCGTCTCCATGGATGACACATCTTTCCAGCTTGGAGGGGGCAGGACATGGCCCTTCACTGGAGCTGCGGGAGATGGGAAGAATTACTTGTGCATAGAACTCATTTAGGCTGGCCCTGCTCTGCTTCCAAGCAGGCTGAGGATTAAGATGCAGGTAGCAACACCCAAAAATACAAAGAGGCTTAGGAGTCCTTTCATGCCTTGTTTCTTAGCAGCACAGTTACAGCTGCTGCCTGTTTTCCAGTGACTTGTGCCTGTGAAAGGAAAGCCAGGATGTGAATCTTCATGGCTTTATTTGTTTGCTACCCAATAAGTCAGGGGGAAAAGTATGGTGCACCACATTTATAATGCATCATCTGAAATGGGTCTTTTCCACCTTTGGGCTGGGGGGAAAAAAAGACCTCCCAGTATGGACCTATGCAAAGGACACTTGTATGTGTTTATCATCATGCATTAATGGAGTGGCTGAGGGAACTCCCTTCCACATCCATAATTCCTTTTACTATTGATTTCTCCTGCAATCTTCAAAGTTTACAGCCTGTAACACAAAACATGTGAGTTTTGCAGGTCAGCCAGCCTGCCCTGGAGGAAATAGATTTTGGGTGTAATTTCTCATTCCCATTTACTCCTCGTATTCCTCATTAGCACTGAGGCCCAGAAGGAGCTGGCTGCAGAGCACATGATGGGAAGGGAAAGCCAAGATGTGATCATCTTTCACATGGCAACAGTTTTGTGAGGATTTGGCTTAAATGTACAGTTTAGCAAAAAAGTGAAATCTATTTTTTGAGTTGGAGTAGGATATGTGTTAGGGTGAAGGTTTGGGCTGGTAGAGGCCAAAAGCTGGAAGTGAGCCTGGGAACAAGGACAGAGCAATGACCTGCATGGGGGTTAGGGCTGTTGGGAGACACTGGATAGGAAGGGAAAATGTTAGGACTAAGATTTGGCTGAGAAAATACCTGAGACACTGTAGCTGCTTATGGAATCATGATCTGGACATGATACACTCTTAAACTGGCACTTACCAACTGAGCTTTACTTACTGCCTTGAGCCTTGGCCATCAGTGCCTTGCTGGCTGTGGTTGGAAGCATGGCCCAGGGGCACTCAGCAGTTCTCATGTTGTTTTAGTGATGCCTGTAGTACAATCTCAGTGGTTTCTCCTGGTATAAACCCTAACCCTACATTCAGTGTCAGCCCAACCCTAGAAACCTCTTCCATTTCCCAGATGAAATGCAATGGGTGCAGATGTGGCAGCAGAGTCCACCATATAATCTGCTGGATTCAAGCTCTAACCCTGACCTCAGCCTCAGCCTGTTCCAGCCTCAGTCACTGCTCCAGTGACTCCTGGTGACCCCAGATTTCAAAGGAGTCACAGATTCACTCACCTCGAGCTTTCCATTTTGGTGCTCTCTCCCCAAATCCCTTTATTATCCTAGCCCATCAGTGTCTTTTGGACCTTCCAAAGTCATGCAGCCTGCAGCAGTTCCGGAAGAAAATCATCTCCAAGAGCTCCATGTCCTCTCCCCATAGTTTGCTCATCTGCCTCCACTGAATCTTCTCATGACTCAAATTTATCTGTTCTTCCTGACCTGACTGATGATCCTAACACCTACTTCAGACTCAGTGCCATTGTTTTCCCCTTGCCTAATACTAATCCTAAGCAAAACTCTTGCCCTAGTCATAAAGATGGAAGATATATGCAACCTGCCTTAAATCCAGGTGGACCTCCTAGAATGCTTTTTCTGGGTAGAAACTACACTGAGATCCGGAGTCCCATTAGCTGGGACTGGGGTTGGGGCCGAGGTTAATATTGTTCCCCAAATGAACTTTAGGATTTAGTTTAGACTCATGTTTCACAAGAGCTGTGAGCTAGGAAAATATGGGAAAATCATGACACTTTCAGTGTCATATTTCCAGCCACTAGTGCTGGTTGCACAGGCGAGTAGGTCAGGAGTTTTCTGTCCCAGATTTCCCTGCCAGCTCTCACATGGATAAAACAAACATGGGTACTGTAGGTGCATGGTCTGACAAAAGTCCTCCTTGGAAAAAAACAGACTTCAAGGAAGAGTATCTGATGTCACCACTGAGAGATGACTGGGCTGGAACAGTTTCCTTAATTAACCTGTAAATAAAATGTTAAATAAAATATTTGATGGACTGCAGCTCCTTGCACAGTGGTGCAAGGATCTATGTCTGAGGAAATTCTTCTGAATTCCAAAAGAGATCAAGATACTTTGACTGAGAAAGGACTGTATCCAATAATAACTCTCAAGTTCACAAATAAGTCTTTGATCTCCTCTGTTTCATGACTCCACATTGCTTTTGAAAGACAGCTGAAACTTCAACCCCCACAGTAAAATTCAGCTTTTTTTTTTTTTTTAATCCTATTTACAACAAACACAGGCAGGTGGCAGGTCCTGGTGGTTTCCCTTCATTGCAGCTCAGTGACAAATGAGAGAGAGAGAGGAATAGAATGGAATAGGTTAGAATAGAATAGGAAAGGTTAGAATAGGATAGGATAGGATAGGATAGGATAGGATAGGATAGGATAGAATAGAATAGAATAGAATAGAATAGAATAGAATAGAATAGAATAGAATAGAATAGAATAGAATAGAAATTTCAGTTGGAAGGAGTGTGACAGCTACTCCTGTTTTGCATATAACAAGAGGGCTTGGGATTTATGTAATCAACAGTTCAAAAGCTTTCAGAAGAAGAGAAGTTCCAGGCTGTTTGCATGCTTGCTCACAACTGAATGCAAAGCAACTTGAGGCCAAAGTCCATCCCAAATGCATCCCCCTGTGCTGCAGACCACCCCTGTCAAAGCTGTGTGAGGATGAATTGCTCCTTTCCAGCCCCGTGCTGGGTGACAGTCAGCGGTGGCACAGGGACAGCTGGCCATCTGTGCACCTCTCCGGGGAGGAGCACACAGCTGTGAGCACATCTTTTCTCATTTGATGCATCACATGTGAAAGGAGGAGGCTGGAATTCCAAGCTGGCCCCACTGTGCTCATGGCCACAGGGGAGCAAAGCCACATACCCAGAAGTTAGTTCAATGAAGCAGTCACAGGTTTTTCTGTTGATTTCCATTCAGACTTCCAAAGGTACTTTTTCTTTTCTCTATGTTTTATAAAGCACTGCATACACCTACTTTCAGCTATAAATAAGAAATAATTGTGTGCATTTAGCACTTATTAAAATTCTTTTTAAATTTATATGCAAACGAGGAGCAGCCACAGGCTCCTGGCAGGTTGCCGATAAAGCCCTTTGTTCTGCAAAGATTCTACACCACCGATGAGGCAGATAAATTTGTCTTCAGTGCCATAGTCTTGTCTTTGCTCTGAATCTTTTTTATAACTACTGGAAGGTGTAGGTTGAGAAATGCTGGTTTGATTAGCTGGGCTTGTGGTTGGTCCCTTTTCATGCCAAAATCATTTAAGTGTTCCAGACATGGCATACACCCATGGAATCTACAAATATATCTCTCCCCAGTGCGTCATAATTCCTGGGGTAGTAAGTGATGAATCATCAGGATCTAATGTGAAGATAAGCTAATTAGCATTAATCAGAGCTCCTGCCCGAGGTGGGAAAATGCTAGGTGAGCAGTCTGTTAGCTGCCATCTGACTTATTTAATTATTTTATTTTCATTTCTTTCAATTTTACAAATCAGACTCTTCAAAGCTTCCAAGCTCACAGACTGGTACTCTTTGGTGACATGAAAAATTTAACAGCCTTTTCATGTCCCTCAGTCTCCATCCTGCCCTGATCTCACCCATCATCTTTCTTCTTGCATTGCCTGGAAGTCCTCAGACTGTGGCTGGGTTGTGCTGTGGCATGGGATGGCTTAGAGGTTTCTCCCTGCAAGGAATCTGCCTGTAGCCCCCTCCTGCTAAAGTCTTTAAGTGACTATCTCCAGAATTTAAATTAACTCTTGCCTTGTTTCAATATGAAGAATAGAGATCCCATCAGGTGTAGTAAGTGGTGATGAGACATATTTCCCTTATGTAGAGTAGTTGTGGTATCAGGCTATGTTCCCTTCTTTCTACTCGGGGCAATAACTTTCTTTGAAATATTTAAAATTATTTTCCAGCATTTTTCTTCTAGTAATGTACCTTCTACAAAAAAATCCCAAGCAGCAGGGATGATTGTAAATACTTCTTAATGTGTCCTTACACTGGTTGGGGCAGGTCTGTTGTAATGAGAGTTCAAGTCTGTGGTGCAGGAACACGAGGAATTCAGTCTCAGCAGAAAGATGCCATCAAACACCACTCTCCATGAGTGCTGGCCCGTTTGTTTATGATTGTTTATGGCAAATTCTTTTACCTATAGGCATCTGCAGGATGCCTGTGGATTTTGAAATGCATTGGCTTTGGTGGTGCGCCTCCTCACACCTCAGGTTTGGTAGTGGAAATCCCAGTACAAAGGGAACTAGGATTCTGAATTATCCATTAGTATAAAGATAAATAGCTTTCAGTGAGACCCATGAGGAATTATTTTAAAGATGCTTATTATTTTAAAGGGCACCCAATGTGCAGCATGGCACCTCAGGGAACCTGGGACTGTCCTGTGGCCCCACAGCCCTGGCAGCCCACAGCCCATCATGGTCACAGAACACAAAATGGTTTGGGCAGGAAGGGACCTTAAAAATCATCTCATTCCAACTCTCCTGCCATGGGCAAAATCACCTTCCACTAGACCAGCTTGCTCCAAGCCCTGTCCCACCTGGCACTGACATGATGTGGCACAGCCTCTCCTCCATGGAACAGCTTGTGGGCTCCATGGGAAACAGCACCCAGCCGTGGCAGCCCTGCTGGGACATGGGGAATGTGTGTCAGCCAACCTCCAGGGCAAGAAAAAGGGAAATATTTGCCAGTTTGTGGGCTCAGAGTCCTACAGTACTCCAGTCGTGTGGTCCTTTGCTGCAGTGGCCAATGCCTTTCTTTGCCACCCAGACAGAACTGAGGTTATCTTTCCTTGAAACTGCTGGAGATCTGCCATGGGAAGTGCCTTTCTTTGATCTGGATTTTGCCATGATCCCGTAACTTATAATTACACTAGCTCTTCCATTCCAGTGAAACCCGCCCCTTCCTTTTTTACCCATGGCACATGGGATTTTTTGAGAAACTGCTGAGACTTGCAGAGCAGCTCCATGTACTGCTGGGGGATGGGTTTTGCCTCTTGAGTTTGCTCAGATGTAGCAGAATTACTCCTTTTCACCTAAATATTGTTCCATAGCTGTGTACTGAGTTGGAGGAAAAAAATCCGTAATAAAACCAAAAGTGCAGAAGCACATAGCTGCTTCTTTTGTTGTGGTGAATAAAGTCACCTAGGCCAGCTGGGAAGGTTTGTAGCCACCAGCAGATGTCATTGCAGCCAGCACAGCATGGTACATGTCAGGTGAGAACTGCAGGTATTCAGGTAATACCCAGTGGAGACAGAAAATAAAAAAATAAATCATGTAATTGCTGATTGCCAGGTAGCTCATTTTCTTAGATCACTGGTAGCTCATTTGTATTAGATAGAGCAGACATTAGGAATTAAATCCCACACTACAATTTGTTTTCTGCTGAATAATTAAGATATATTAGTCCCAAGCACCAATTATAGTAATTTAAAATACTAATACTTTTTTTTTTTTACTGGAACATGCATGTGGATTTTGTTTCGTGGGAGTAGTTATGTCCTGATAACCTAACGAGCCTGAGGATTAATGAGGAGGGCTGGTGAGGGGCTGATCCACCCCATGCTCCAGTGCTGCCTCCCATGCTGGGCTCTCTGAGGAGAGGTTGAAGCTGGGTGAGCTTTGTGGTCCCTTCCCACCCAAACCATCCCAAGATCCTTTGATTCTGTGGTTCCTTGGTGGAGGAGGAGAGCCTTGGCATGCATGTTTGTGCACGTGTTTGCCTGGACATTTGTGTGTGTGCATGTATTTATGCCCTTGCTAACCTGAGTTTTTAATGCTCACAGATTTCTGTGTTAGTGGCTACAGAGTGACAGACAATACTCCTTGGAAGCAGTGGAAAACTTTGCTGTCATAAAGACAAAATAATGAAAAATACCCATTAGCCTCTGTTTCTGAGTAATTTCCCCACTCCCTTTCTTTCTCTGGGGTTAGCCAGCAAACAGACAGAGAAAATCCCTGAGCTGCCTGTAAGACCTTGGTCAGTCACTGGTAGTTATTATTATGCCATTGCATCAAATCTATAGATATACTTTATATAAAATTTCCTGTTACAAACAATATTTACTGTTTGCTTGGTGAAGACCACAAGCATAACTGAGTCTGCTGAGCTCCATCTTTTTCAGATTCAGGAGATAAGAAGTCTCGACCCTAAAATACACTTTACAGTTAAGAAGTGCAGTTTCTGTTAAACTATGGATCCAAAGATAGCCTTATACACATAAAAGACAGTCAAGCCAAGGCAGATGGATATGGTGATAAGAGAGGTGGACTAAAGGCAGAGTTCTTTGGCCCATCTCCTTTCAACACAATGAACAAGTATTTCTCTTGTGGGAAACTCTAGCTCTTCTACAGTCACTGATGAAGCTGCACCTCAAATTCTGTTTTGTGTTGAGTGTTGGGCCCCTCACTCCAAGACAGACATTGAGGTGCTGCAGAGTTTGCAGACAAGGCAGTGGAGCTGGGGAAGGGTCTAGAGCACAAGTCTGATGAGAAGAGGGGCTAGGGGGCCTCATCCTGGACAAAAGGAGGCACCTTCTTGCTCTCTACAGCTCCCTGACATGAGGCTGGAGCCAGGTAGGGATCCATCTCTTCTCCCAATAAACAAGTGGTAGGACGAGAGGAAGCAGCCTCAAGTTGCAGCAGGGAAAGTTTTGATTTAATATTGGGAAAAAATATTCACCAAAATGGTTGCCAAGCCCTGGAAGAGGCTGCCCAAGGCACCCAGGGTGGAGTCACCACCCCTGGAGGGATTTAACAAACGTGTAAATGTAGCACTTGGGGACATGGTTTAGTGGTGGCCTTGCCAGTGCTGGGTTAACATTTGGGCTCGATGATCTTCGGAGTCTTTTCCAACCTAAACGATCCAAGACCTGAATGAACACCTGCCAGCTCTGGAGATAATGTTGTGTTCTTGGCCTTAGATGAGATAAATCAGTGGGAAAACTTCATTGACTTTGGCACAGGCTGTATCTTATTTTCAGTTCCCTGAATCCAAATTGTCAATATTTTCCTAAAAGTGTTTGGAGATGCCCCAAACACTTCAGCTGGGGACATACAGAGTCACTTGTTCTGAGATGGTGTTTCCTTATAAATCCCATCAGCTGGGTCTCGGTTCAGTTTGGGGATTTATTTCTTCAGAAAGTCCCAAGTTGCTTTATGTCCTGAAATAGAGGAGAGAGACAACCAAAGAATTAAAGGGAAGATGTTATATTAAGCATGTCTTTTAAGAAGAAATTTCTTTATCTGTGTAGCACCTCACGTAAAACCGAAAGGTGTAAAAAAGTGTAATTCTCTGTAACCCATAGGATTTTTACCTTTTCCATTCTGAGGAGCTTAGATGATGGCCAGAAGATAGATGGGCTAATTTTTAATTGCAGACTTCACTGGGAAGAATGTAAATTCTAACCCAAATGTGATAGTGTTTTAATTGGTTTTTTTCAGCAAATGTACAATCTATGGGTAATGTAAAGAACTTTTAGTATAAAAAATGCAGTATTAATATAGGATTTAATCATGTGACAGTGTT